GATTTTCTCTCTCCACGTGACACAATCTGTGGCATGTAGTTCCCCTAATCTATCCCGATACCTGTATCATTCATGTATCGCTTACACACATTTGTATATCGTAGTAGAGACTGACGTGTACATCTTCTATCCATCTGAAATGCACCATAGCGTATGTTCGTAGGGCTCTACCATCCTTTATAATTAAGCATAAACATTCTGTTGTTTGTATCTACTAATGGGCAAATAAAACAGATATGATGACATTCTTAGAATATATGTCGCTCTATGTTATTTCAAAGGCATAATCTTTTATCAGTTTGGTTGGATCTTGAGGGCTCTTACCATATCTAATAAACAATACTCGTATTTGAATAAATTTGTAAGATTTAAACAAAGACTAGAGGCTAAACATACATCATTGAGGGTCTGATAAGGGGACCATAGCTGAGTCAGTGGGAGGATTGTTTAGGGGTGGGTTTAGATTGATAGCAGTAAACTTTAGGTTTGGTTTCTTATAGTTCTATAGACATTCTAATGTTTGACAGAAGGGTGGACAATCAATTTTTTTTTAAAGCTAATGCTATTCTTAGTTCTGGCTATGGTTTTTTTTTTGGGCAGTGGCTAAACGCTCGGACTCCAATTTAAAGGTCTAGGGTTTGAATCTGCATCAAGTCGGATTGTTTTTTCTTTCTTTCAAGAAATAACTTGGCTTCCAGGTGGGGTGACTATTATGTTTAGTTGAAAATGGGAAATCTCACTAATAAATTTAGCTGAACAGTGGACGTCCCAAGCAAGTCAGTTTTACTCCACCCTTCGTGTTTTTCGAGATCACCAGGATGAAAGTTAATTACTCGCTCAACAACGGTATTAAAACCTGAAGCATTTTCGACAAGTATGAACTTATGTGTCTGCTCTGTGGCTAAGTCGATGCCAACGCTTCGGGATGCCGGGCTCAATCCCAGGTGAGGGCTATGCGCCTTGCCTTGGTTTCGACAGTGGTATCAAGAAAGCCGACTGTTCAGAAGCAATGACAAACTACTGGACGTAAATTTGTCTAGAAAACCACACAACAGCCAGGGGTTGTTGGGGTTGGTCCTGCAACGTCATGTGAATAATACGCAACTAACCATGTACGTATGTTGTTTAACCCCATCAGGACCATACCACGAGCGACGATACCCGGTGATGCAAAGTACCACCATGCGGATGAGGATCACCAGGGCACAAGTCCCAGAAACCCCATTCAACCCATAGATTGGGTTACATTAGGGCCCGTGGCAAGAGCAGGAGTGGAGCTTAACAATGAAAAATTGCGTCCCATATATTAGGACGGTTCATAATTGTCGCCAAGAAATAAACGAAACAATATGCTCTTTAACTGCTCTGAAAAAATGCTGCATGAAACATACTATTAACAAATCCGAGATATTAAAAGTACTTGTTCTAGTGAATATTCTATTCTAGAACTAGTAGTTTCTGCATTTTATAAAACATGAAAAATCGCGATCTTAACGGAACGGACAGGACACACCTAAAAATTGATCTCTCCTGGTTAATGGGACGTATGATAACCCTACTCCAAGATCAGCCTATCATGAAATGGGTACTAGGTACAGTCCTGGGAAATAAAAGTGGCCGGTGGTACGCTGACTACGCTACCCATCGAGTGCCGATTGGTCTAAAAAATGTAATAAAATATGTCTAACATCATATGAAGAAGCGTCGGTGGCTTGGGCGTTGCGAGTCCGACTCGTAACCCAGCGTACCGCGATCGAAACTCACTGCTGGCTGCGTGGATTTTTATCATGGTACAGGGCGACGCAGGTCAAGCCAGCCTAGAAAGTAAAGACAGCCGGCGTAATGCTCTTCTCATATGCCCGATACGCCTAAAGGCGTGGAAAGGGATCTTTACTTTTTTTTTTTTTTTTTACTGAACATAAAATGAAAAGGATCTGTTACTTTACGTACCTACTTTCAGAAGGGTAGATAATCAATTACTGTAAGAAAAGGAATACGATTTGAAAACTGTATGTTACGTCCCTTTGCCTTCGTCGATCTCGTAGGGAAGCTTCGACAGGCAGGCAGATAGAGCACAGCTGCTTGCTTGCTGTATCCAACCAGAACATCACACAAGCGATAAATACCTGGTAAAATAGCCACCATGCGGATGAGGATCACCCGTGGAGATGTCACAGAAACCCCTTTCAGCCGTTATGGCTACATTTGTTGCCCACTTATATTCATGGTCCCCGGCAGAAGCCAGGGTGGGGCTTCGAATAACGAAAACTTGCATCCCACAAGGAGCAACAGTTCTGCAGTATGCTCTGTTTTAAACGTAGTGGTGTTACCTTTTCTTCTGAGCAAACAAGACAGGCCGAGGGAGGGATAACGATGCATGGGCAACACGTGGTCTCCACAATACTGAACAGATTTTGTGCAATGGAGAGGAGAAACTTCACCCCTGGCCTAAATTGGTCGAGACTTTTCGTATCGCGGGCAGGTCTTGTCATCACCAAGGATAGGCTGTGAGTCCCATGCCCTCTCATAGCACCATATAACACTGTCGTCTGGAAAGACGGAGAAGTGCCAATACCGTTTGAGTTAATGAGTTTAGTTCTTGCTAGGGACACATTTTCTAAGCAAATGCAGCATTTTACAGGATAAGAACTATTGTATGCAATATATCAGTGTCAAACAAAAAGCTAAAAAGAGCTAGATTTGTAGTGTGGAAGTGAAAAATGGATAGTCACTACGCGGAAAAGGGGGGGGGAAATTATAATGAAAGTGAAATCGCGTGGTTATATAGAAGAAAGATGAGAACACAGTGGACATAATACTAACACAATGAAGATGTCTTGATAGAAATAAGCTCATAAAAAAGAACGGATTGCACATAGTATCAGAAGAAGACAGTCTACATTCTTTGTCCCTATGAAAGACAGGGAATCGAATAAGCAGATAATCAGACATAGAACCAGGAAAATAAAATGAGAATCAGATATACAAAACACAGTCAGAAGGAGAACCGCATAGACAGACAGAGAGATAACTATATAGACAAATATGCACTATCCATGCAACACAAAAGCCTCAGACCAGAAACCCAATGTCATTCCCCATTCCTAAATAAAATTGTAAATACATTCAGCAAAGACAGGCTGTTTAAGCTTTTATTAAGCTTACTTTTGTTTGTGTGTTTGTCTGGGCAAAACCTTGCCTTCCATTTTAACAGTATTTTCTGGTAAGCTATCCAGCTACAATTGTGCACACGCGCACTTTGTGGAAAACAATGCAATGTGGTTCGAACAAATGCAAATTTGTTTTCTTTAGGGTACTGATAGACATAGAATAGTAATAGTGACGAACGTTTTTTTTTTTCTATCAGATTCCCCATGTGGGATCCGAAGTCCCATTGCTGTAGACAATAAAAATTAAAGAGTATCTTCACTACCTCCCTAACACTCATGTCGTAAGGATCAACTAATTAGGGGTTTCCTTTGAAGTCGGAGTGCATCCAACTGAAAGGCAAAATATTAACACGCTGCATACAAATAAGTCAGATCTGTAATACGGGTATGCATGCAAATCTCAAATTCTGGAACAAGACTAAAGTCCAGAAGTATAAAAACAAGCAAAACTTTCCGCCGTAGTTTACAGCGGGTAAATGCAAGGAAACCGATTTAACGAGATGACATAAATTATTATAAATTAATCTATTCAGCTTTTACTAAATAATGCCCGAGTAGCTTTTCACAAGAAATGTATTAACGTAAATTGATTTGCACTGGTAGAAGGAGAGTTAAAGGTATATAGCTAGATATCCCATGAGAATCTTGTAGAGCAGCGGTTTTCAACTTGTGGGTCGCGACCCTTTTTTAGGGTCGAACGACCCTTTTTTGGGGTCGAACGACCCTTTCATAGGGGTCGTTTAAGACAATCGTAAAACAAACATTCATGAAGTAGCAACGAAAATAATTGTATGGTTTGGGGTAGCCACAACGTGAGGAACTGCATTAAAGGGTCGCATCATTATGAAGGTTGAGAACCACTTGTAGAGGAACATAAAAACCAGTATGTAAGGAAGTTAATTGCGAAATGTTGTTTTTCTCAGTCTAGTTCCAGTTCCTCTTTGTTATTAGCCAGAATAAGTGAGACGTTTTTCTGTCGCTTTTACTTGTTTGGCTAATTAAAAAGAAATTTATAGCTAATCTCAATGTTGGAGGCAATTTGTCGTTATTTTGAATCCCAATCCCGACTGCGGTCGCAGGCCCTCATTATAACGCAACAGGTTGAACGGGGTTTCTGGGACATGTTTCCTGGTGATCCTCATCCGAATGGTGACACTTTGTATCACCGGGTGTTTATCGCTCTATGTGATTTCCTGGTGGGGTAAAACGTCAGTAAGTCAGACTAATTTTAAAAAAAAAAGCGTTAATATTTAATTCGGTCTTTCTTCGCAGATATAATTGCTGCTCAAAATACTACTACTACAACAAAACAAACGACAGTCTCAACAGCAACTACAGCCACCACACTAAGCACAACAGCATCAACGGCATCAACAAAACCATCAACGGTATCAACAGCATCGACTGCATCAACGAAACCATCGACGGCATCAACAGCCTCAACAACAGCATCGACAGCATCAACAGCCTCAACAACAGCATCGACTGCATCAACAGCCTCAACAACAGCATCGACTGCATCAACAGCCTCAACAACAGCATCGACTGCATCAACAGCCTCAACAACAGCATCGACTGCATCAACAGCCTCATCAACAGCCTCAACAACAGCATCGACTGCATCAACAGCCTCAACAACAGCATCGACTGCATCAACAGCCTCAACAACAGCATCGACGGCATCATCAACAGCATCAACAAAAGCATCAACAGCATCGAGTACAGCGGCGTCAACAGCATCGAGTAGAGCATCGACAGCATCGAGTACCGCGGCATCAACAGCATCGAGTACCCCGGCATCGACAGCATCGAGTACTGCAGCATCAACAGCTCCAAGTACGGCAGCGCCAACCACTCCTAAGCCAAGCGTGCAGCAGAACTTCACATGCAAAGATGGTAACACTACAAAGTTTAGTTTGACTGGATCTTTCACTCTGTTCATCACCTACAACAAAACGAATGTGGTAAGTTGCCTGGATATACGTGTTAATTTCTATAACGAACGCTGAGTGTTGTTTTGATGAATAAGAAGAGGAAAAGGATGAAAAGAAAGGAGATAAAGAAGAAGAAGAAAAAGACAAAGAAAAAGAAGGAGGAAGAGGAGAAGGTTTCGAAGAAGAGGAAACAGAAGAAGAAGAAGAAGAAGAAGAAGAAGAAGAAGAAGAAGAAGAAGAAGAAGAAGAAGAAGAAGAAGAAGAAGAAGAAGAAGAAGAAGAAGAAGAAGAAGAAGAAAAAAGATGAAGAAGAAGAAGAAGAAGAAGAAGAAGAAGAAGAAGAAGAAGAAGAAGAAGAAGAAGAAGAAGAAGAAGAAGAAGAAGAAGAAGAAGAAGAAAGAAGAAGAAGAAGAAGAAGAAGAAGAAGAAGAAGAAGAAGAAGAAGAAGAAGAAGAAGAAGAAGAAGAAGAAGAAGGAGAAGGAGAAGGAGGAGGCGTGGAAAAAAAGAATGAAGAAGAAGAAGAAGAAGAAGAAGAAGAAGAAGAAGAAGAAGAAGAAGAAGAAGAAGAAGAAGAAGAAGAAGAAGAAGAAGAAGAAGAAGAAGAAGAAGAAGAAGAAGAAGAAGAAGAAGAAGAAGAAGAAGAAGAAGAAGAAGAAGAAGAAGAAGAAAAGAAGAAGAAGAAGAAGAAGAAGAAGAAGAAGAAGAAGAAGAAGAAGAAGAAGAAGAAGAAGAAGAAGAAGAAGAAGAAGAAGAAGAAGAAGAAGAAGAAGAAGAAGAAGAAGACGAAATAGGAGGAAAATAAAATAAAAATGATGATGAAGAAGGTGAAGAAGAAGAAGAAGAAGAAGAAGAAGAAGAAGAAGAAGAAGAAGAAGAAGAAGAAGAAGAAGAAGAAGAAGAAGAAGAAGAAGAACAAGAACAAGAACAAGAACAAGAAAAGAAGAAGCGGAAGAAGAAGAAGAAGAAGAAGAAGAAGAAGAAGAAGAAGAAGAAGAAGAAGAAGAAGAAGAAGAAGAAGAAGAAAAAGAAAGAAGAAGAAGAAGAAGAAGAAGAAGAAGAAGAAGAAGAAGAAGAAGAAGAAGAAGAAGAAGAAGAAGAAGAAGAAGAAGAAGAAGAAGAAGAAAAAGAAGAAGAAGAAGAGTGGTATACAATAGTCAAACACATGAATAAGTCATAAAGTATAAACATTACCATAACATCCTCTAGGGTCTAACGACGATTCCCATCGAAGTTCCCCAAACAAAGAACTTTCAGGGAACTTGTGGCAACACTAGCACCGAGTCGCTGACCTTTACATTCTTCAATGGCTGGAGTATTACTTACGTCTTTCAAGAGGAGGTCAGCATTGAGAATGGGCTCCTGTCGGCAACTAACAAATATTATGTCTCAAACATAACGGTGGTATACGTCCATGATGAACATCTGCCAGACACCACTACGCCAGGTAAGTGTTTGTAACAGTTATTTGTCAGTTAGTTGCGTATCCTTTACAGGACGTTGCGAATCAACCCTAGCATTTTTTGCTGTTATGATTTTTCTAGGCAAATTTGCATCCAGTAGTTTGCCATTGCTTTCTAGACAGTCGGCTTCTCGATACCGCTGTCGAAACCAACGCAAGACGCAAGGCCCGCAGTAGAGCTAGTAGTTTAACAAGTGTCATTATCTTTATTGCTTTACTGTTCTGAAAGTTTCGACATGCATTGCTTGCTGACTATTTGTACGTTTGTTATGTCTGCTGCGTATTTAGTGGCGTAACAGGGTCTGGAAGTACCTGTTGCAACAAATGTTACTGTTACACCCCCCCCCCCCCCCACCAGCCCTAATTTATTTACATATTGCTTTATTGCAAAAACATCTATTTTTACCAATTTGCCACCCCTCTCAGCGATGACACCTGGGGCAGCCCGCACCCCTCCTCCCACGCCACTGTGTATTCACTTCAATTTAAATACGTCAGTATGCTTCAAACCGAAGTAAATAATTCCACAACTTGTTAGTTTGCAAACGACGATCAAGAGTGGGAGGAAACGCACTACGCATTCTGGACTAGAACTAGGTTTCTCAAGAGTCCACAAGACCTTGCGGTGCTGTCTATTCAAAGACTGGACAGATCACGTCATCCGCTTGCCAGACATGGGGCTCCAAAAATAATCTTCTATGGTGAGATACAGGAAGGTAGACGCTCTCATAGTGGACATGAAAAAAAATGCTTCAATGACACCCTAAAGGCATCACTTGAAGTCTTTAATATAGATCCTGCCACTTCGGAGGCTGTCGCACAAGACTGGACTGCATGGCGAACGTCTTTCTGAAAAGGGATAGCGACCTACGAGGCTTCAAGAAAAATGTCAGCCGAATAGCGAAGACATGATTGAACGATCCGTACTCTTTCCTGCCCTCTGAATGAATAAATGAAAAATTGACATGAGTGCATGCGAGACATTCCCACGTGGGCTCTATCCACTTCTTCAATAACCAATGAAGAGTTGGCATGCTAATAGTACTTACTAGTCAGCCCTTTGTTGGTTACTGAAGACGATGACGGAGCACGTGTAGTAATGTCCCGAGTGCGGTAATGTCAACGTTTCATTCATTCATTCATTCATTCTGGGAAGAGATTAAAATATATAATACGAACTTAAATCCTCCAGGCTCACCATCGAAGTATCATACATACTGAAGGCTTATCTTCTTCTTCTTCTACTACTTCTTCTTCTTCTTCTTCTTCTTCTTCTTCTTCTTCTTCTTCTTCTTCTTCTTCTTCTTCTTCTTCTTCTTCTTCTTCTTCTTCTTCTTCTTCTTCTTCTTCTTCTTCTTCTTCTTCTTCTTTTCTTCTACTTCTTCTTCTACTTCTTCTTCTTTTCTCTACCCCTGGAAAACCTCGCGGCGTCATGGGCAGGAAGAGATCTCTATAAAGTTCCCTTCTGTTCGCTTCGCATAAAGCACTTTTCAGTGTCTCTGATATATCTATGGTCCATTGTCTGCGTGATACGACCTCTGGGTCAGTTGCCGCTGTATCTGTATATCATTTCTCTCTGTGGTGCCCTGTCTGATGCCAGTCTTGTTACATGACCAAACCATTTGATTTGTTGTCTACCTATAAAGTTCAGGACTGGTTCTGTGCCGTCTCTCCTCCCGATATCGTCGTTCCTAATTCTATCTTTTCTCGTTTCACCTAGCATAGTACGTAAACATTGCTTTTGTTTCCATTAAATACGAAATATTCTTCTGTATATCCACACACACAGTGACTCAAAACAATCTTATAAAGTTGAATTTAACTAAATTACTAAGGAGACGAACAATGGCTGATACGTAGTTTTATTACATCTCCTTACAGAATTAAAAGTGGAATCTAAAATTGCACAAGATCGTTACTTGGAGGCTACGACAGATGGCTACTATACTTGTCAAACGAACATTTCACTGGCGATAAACAAGGATGTAAGTCAAATCATAGTTTTACACAATTTATTGTAGTACATGGAGGTGGAGCAGCTAGACGCTCGCATTCGACCTGAAGATTTTAGGTTCCGAACAGCATCAAGTCGATTTTTTTAATTTTTTTTTAAATAACCTAGACTTCCAAGTCGACCCAGACTTACAATGTAGAAGGTAAAGTCCTGGGAAGTAAAACCGGTCGGGGTGATGCTGACTACATCACCCGCTGACTGGTCCCTTAAAAACGAGTATAGCAACATACACTTGATGTACCACTGGCGTATGAGGCTTCTTTACTTGCACTTACTTGACTTGACAGTAGTAGTGTAAAAGGAAACGATCAAGCTGATAGGCTTGCGAGTAAAGCTGCAATGGAGGAAGGTCGAGTCATTGGTCAGGCTGATATAATAAAGGTTCAACTAGACATAAAACATCCGCGAGAACAAAGGATGACTGTGAATCTGCAACCACGATCAGTTAAAAGAGGTGTGGCCAGACTGCAAGAAACCAGAGAGGAATAATAAAACAACACAGAGCTGATATCTCCTCCGCTAACACGATTGAGGCTTTTCCAAGGATATAATCCATACGCTGATAGACGGAATGTCTCGATTTGTATTGAGGCTGGCTCGTCTGATGACATTCAGCCCCACCAGGACAGCACAACGAGCGATACAACAACTGGTAACACAAAGTGCCACTATTGGGATAAGAATCTTCATGTACAAGTCCCAGAGATCCCGTTTAACATTTAGAATATTTTTGAGCACCCGACTACAGCCGGGGTGGGGCTTTATAATAATTTTAAAAAAAAAACATTGCGTCCCATTCTGGGGAGAGGCTTTTACGGCAGGCTGGTCTGTTGATTAACTGTAGCTCTTTAGAAACGAATGTTCCTTCAGTACTAACGGAGCAATGATGCACCATACAAGACTTAATATCTCCTAGCCCCTCTTGCTCATGCCTACCCCATCCACATGTGGTTGGCCATGTTCTTCTCAGCAATCCAGTTGAAGCTTGGGGTCTCAACACTCAAAGAGAAACTTTATGGGACAACAAACGAGATAGAAGTGAAGGGATCTGCCCACTCTCTATCTAAAGAGGTCCTGAAATCGGAAATACTGGGCCAGAGAAGGGATAAAAAACCAAAGTAGGTGAACCAGAAGACCAGATAATAATATTATTAATAATTATTATTATTGTCATCATTATTAATATTATTAAATGTATTTTATATTTTCAGGTGACGCTTACGACTGCTGATTTCAAATATAAGGCTTTCAATAACCAAGGGGACATTAATCTGGATAGTGGGACGGGTAATTGTTATCTTCTGTTATTTCTTCAGTTATATTGGACACATCCTGAAAAGAAGAAACGAGTAGAGAATCAACAAGCAGGCCCTAAAATGGGAAATGAAAGGATCGAAGAAGCAAGGACTTCCAAAAGAAACCCCTTTGATGAACTTTGACATTTTGCACAAGATAGAACGGGATAGAAGAATAGACTGCGCGTCCTATGTAACATATAATGGCCCGACAGGATAATAAATAATATATATTTATATATATATATATATATATATATATATATATATATATATATATATATATATATAGACTGTAGGATGCGGGAAATACTCATGCATCCTTTATTTTGTAAAAATACTTATCTGCACTATAATCAGACCTGTATCCAATACTTCTCCAGTTAAATGCAAAATCGCACAACAGCATCCCTTCCCTGCCCAACAGTCGTCTGTCATCGATCATTTACTTGTGGCAACAAAAGCGACCGGACAATACATCTGGCTAACAATAAAGATACATATTTGGGCAGTTTGGGGCAACAATCTGGCACATGATATCCCTGTGTGAGTTCCAAGTCTCTCTTTTGGCGAATACGAATAGACCCACTACCTCCTCCCTCCCTCCCCACCTCCCAATAACAAGCATGTCTCAGGAGACGTCAATTTAGGGTGTTTCCTTCGAAGTCAGAATGCATCTTCATGAGAGGCAAGGAACCAACAGTCTGCATACAAATAAGCCAGATCTGTAAAATGGATGTGTATACAAAACTCAAGTTCTGGAACAAGATTAAAGTCCAGGAGTGGACGATCAACAATACTTTTCCCAGAGTTTACAGCTGTCAACGCTAAGACGAGATGATGAGGTACGGGACAGCTGCTGGATAAGGATGGCCTGTATTCATAGAATGTCTCAGGCGGACCCGGCCTTGCAATAGTTTCTTTCCTGTGTGGCGTGGTATCTCCTCTCTCTCTATCTCTCTCTCTCTATGCCTATCATCTCTCTCTCTCTCTCTCTCTCTCTCTCTCTCTGTCTCCCTGTCTCTCTCTCACACATTGCAAACCCACTGTCAAAAAGCTGTAGCTCCAGAGATGAAACTCAAAACGCCAGCACAGATTCCATAACCAACGTCACAACCGCCAGAGTGCAAGATAAACTGCCAAAACCACTTGACGAAGATACCTTGGTTACACAAAATAGGGCAATGATTCTATCCCTGTTTCTGCTTTAAGCTGCGAAGGTAATGGCGTTTATTGTTCTTCTTTCAGCGACTGAATGTTCGAAAGACCTGGAAACCGACAGCACTGTCCCAATAGCTGTTGCAGCTGTTCTAGCTGGTCTGGCAATCTTCGGGTTCATTGGTTATCAATTATGGAGCAGCAGGAGAAAACCGAAAGATATTTTAATAGAAAACGAACTTAAAAGTTTATAAAATAGCGTTCACTGCTAGTGTCATGTTTGTGACTGAAGTTTAGTTTAGCCGAAACCCCCGTGTGCATTATAGATTTTCTCTTTTATCTCCGCAGTGACATATGAGACATACGAGTTTCCTCTGTTTATGCAGAAAATTACATGCTTATAGGACATACAATTTCCTTTTAGAGTTTTTAACCAGCCATCTCCTTGTAGGATGCAATTTTTTTGTTATTTTGAAGCCCCACCATGGCTCTTGCCGGGGGCCATAATATAGTCCGGCCATAAATATAGTCTAATAGCTGAACGCGGTTTCCGGGTCCTCTCCGCCGGTGATCCTTATCCACATGGTGGCACTTTGTGTCATTGTGTGATGTCCTAGTGGGGTAAAATTTACTACTACTACTGTTAAAATTTTCACGAATAACTAACATAAAACATCGCCGTATGATTTTAAATAATCATGTATTTAACCCAGGTGCCTCTTTATTTTCTCACGAACTAGCATTCTGTTTTTAATTTTTAAAAATTTTTTTTAATGTTGAAAATACACAGTAAGAAGATCACGAATCAGCTAAGTTATTTTTGAACACTGAGGCACCAGGTTATATTGTTCAGACACCAAAGGGTATATCCTCTTTGGCCTATCCATACTCATTCTCACACAGCAGATGTGTATTTGTCAGCGTTCGTCGGCTGTAAACTCAGTAAGAAATTCCTGGTTGTTCGTACATTACTGGACTTTGGCTTTGTTCCGGGATTTGTGTGTTGCGTGCACACCTATTTTACTATTCGGGAAAAAAAAAACCTATAATGCACACAGGGCAGATCGGAAAGTTCACGTAGTCCATTTAACCTCAGCCCCTGAAGTTTTCCCGCTAGACACTGCCAACGGCTTTAAAACGCTTTTAGTGTTTGCGCATACTCACCCACACTGGACTGCCTGTTACATTTCAACAGTCGTTTGCCCTGATATATATGTGCGTTTTTAAATGTATGGTGTGGCTCGAAACACAAAACTACACCCGCGCGTGTGTGCGATTGTGCTAAGGGTTCAGAAAGGTTCGGTGCGAAGGCAGTGGCTTGAGTCATTACAGAAGTCTACTGTGCGTGGAGTCATCTTTATTTTCGTTGCGGGATTCGCAGGCGTCGGTGTAAATGAAAGAGCTGATAGGTTAGCTGGATCCGCTATCACTACCAACGGTCAACCTATGGATAATGCTGATATTATTAATGCCCTCCGAGAAATGGAAAGCCTGGAAGACTTTGGGGCAGTGAATCCACATCACTTGCCAGAATGATAGACTTGGGAGTTGAGATCGGTATAGCAAAAAACGAGACGCACAAAGGTCACATTAGAGAGCTTGTTAATCAACATAGAACTGGAACTAGTAACCATCGGACTATGGGGTTCATACTGAGGGGATGTTCTGAACACCTATGGACATGTCCGGAGTACAACGTTGACAACCCAGCTAACCAACTAACTAACTAACTAACTAACTAACTAACTAACTAACTAACTAACTAACTAACTAACTAACTAACTAACTAACTAACTAACTAACTAACTAACTAACTAACTAACTAACTAACTAACTAACTAACTAACTAACTAACTAACTAACTAACTAACTAACTAACTAACTAACTAACTAACTAACTAACTAACTAACTAACTAACTAACTAACTAACTAACTAACTAACCCACTAGCTAACTAACTAACTAACTAACTAACTAACTAACCCACTAGCTAACTAACTAACTAACTAACTAACTAACTAGTTAACTAGCTAACTAACTAAATAGACAACTAACTAACTGACTGAATAACTAACTAACTAACTGTGCTATACGGGTGAACGGGGGTTCTGGAGTTTGTTCCTGTTGGATTCGCTTCCGAATTATGGCTCTTTGAGTTACATCGTGTTAATCTTTCAGCAAGCATTCCTGGAAAAAATGTAAAATAAAAAAAAAGAAAGCTTCTAGTATTTCCTTGTAGCTGCTAGATATATCCGTTTGTTGTTTTTCTTTCAGTGTACGAATGCCCAAAAGACGAAGAAACTAGCAGCATTGTGCCCATTGCTGTGGGCGCTGCCTTGGCTGGCCTGGTCATCATCGTCTTGATAGCCTATCTCATTGGACGCAAGAGATCCCGTAAGACTGGATATGAAACTGTCTGAGATGGGCTGGCACTTCAAACAAAATTGATCGCTGAACTTTCATTGTTGATTTTTTTTTTAAATTTTATTTGTTATGACAAAATATACTCTTGTGCTACTAGATTTCCATTCGCGCATACTCTACTATTTTTTTTTTTTTAATTTTCGCAACTGTTTTGTTAAAATGTAAGTAAAACAGTAAAGATCCGTTTTCATGCCTTTAGGCGCATCAGGCATATGGGAAAAGCACCCATATTTTTACAGACCTAGGTAATGTGGTCAGCATTACGCCGGCCGTCTTTACTTCCCCAGGACATACATCCTGGTACCAATTTCAAACTGGGTCCTGCGACGCCCTATACCATGATAAAAATCCAGCTAGCTGTGGGTTTTGATCACGGTGCGTGGGAATTACGAGTTTGGACTCGCAACGCCTAAGCCACGGAAGCCGCCTTTGTCAAAATTGGGCTTTCAAAAATTCGTCTGAGATTGTTTACTTTGCTAGACGGTTGAACAAAATACTGGGTGTTGTGAGAATCATCACGCTCGCCTGCGGATTGAAAGGTCGCAGGATGGGGTCCTGATGGAGTCGGACATTTTGAGAAAAAGGACCTTGACTCTCAGGTTTACACATCCTTGAATGCGTACCAGGTACAGTCCTGGTAAATGAAAGCGGTCGGCGTGATGCTGACTACATCATCCACCCAGTGCCGATTGGTCTATAGAAATATAGGTCTAGCCCTATATGCCCATTACGCCTGAAAGAGTGGAAAAGGGTCCTTTACTTTATTACTTTTATGAGTATCACCACTACTTTGTTGTGACGTGTATACACCAGACATGCCTCGCAGTTTGTTCCCCATCCCATTCATTATGAGTTATCCATTCGATATCATAGATGGAATCCTTATACTTCTTCTTTTGTGATCGCCGGTAATGATCTCCAGCTAAAAGTCCTGCCTATCCGTCCATGCTGGACTTCGGTCTTGTTTTAGGACTTGAATGTTGGTGGGAAAGAAGAGGTTCTGGTGAATTTTCAACACTGAAGGGGGAAACAAAGGCGGATATTTCATCAGGTTGCAAATGGTACTATTAGCATGTCCTTCTATCTTTCTACTTCTTTCTATGAGTGCCAGTCAATACATTGTTTGTTTATGCATGTCGATACTTCTTTGGCTACTGAAGAAGGGGGTGGAGCACACGTAGGAATGTCCCAAGTGCAGTGATGCCAATTCTTCATCAATCCATTTATTGTTGCTCGCAGATCCGTTTTACATGTCTGGCTAATTTGCGTATAGAGTCGTGCGTACTTTTCTTTGGGATGGGGTGGGGGGGGGGGGTGTTAATTTGTATATAACTACAGTTTGTAGAACTGACATCTCAAGGATGAGCATGAACATGTTCAAATACCGGAAAAGCCGTTCAACCGTGTAGTACGGTTATATATAATAGGGCACCACAAAACGTACATGTAGTCCAGTGTAGGTGGTGTTGCTTTCTTAACGCATGGCCCATTGGCACTCGCCCGCAGGCCCCATGCAAACGAATCTATGTATGTCAAGTTCGTTCATGTGAGTTCTTATCGTAGGGGCGCCAGCACTTTGGTTTACCCAGGGGCCCACACTACTGTTTAGATGGCTCTGGTGGGTAGGTTGGATTGTCCAAACTGTTGGTTCCACGCCTCTCAGGCGAATGCTCTTCGCCCTCCAAGGATACATACATCCTGTATCTGTGGCCAGACCTCTCAGTAGGGGATCTGTTGGATGACCACGGAGAGATGGGTTTGATGACCACGGAGAGATGTATTGGATGACCACGGAGAGATGAATTGGATGACCACGGAGAGATGTATTAGATGACCACAGAGAGATGTTAGTAGATGACCACGGAGAGATGTATTGGATGACCACGGAGAGATGAATTAGATGACCACGGAGAGATGTTATTAGATGACCATAGAGAGATGTATTAGATGACCACGGAGAGATGTATTGGATGACCACGGAGAGATGTATTGGATGACCATGGTAAGGTGTATTGGATGACCATGGAGAGATGTATTGGATGACCACAGAGAGATGTATTGGATGACCACAGAGAGATGTATTGGATGACCACGGAGAGATGTATTGGATGACCACGGAGAGATGTATTAGATGACCACGGAGAGATGTACTGGGTGACCATGGAGAGATGTATTAGATGGCCACGGAGATTTCTCCGTACAGCATCTCAACACTGACCAATTTGAGCCCTGGACATTCAACCCCACCAGGACAGGACAACGAGCTATAAACACCTGGTGATGCAAAGTACCACCATTCGGATGAGAATCTCCCGGGGCACAAGTCCCAGAAACCCGGTTCAACAGTTAGGTTATATTAGGGCCCCCAGACTATAGCTGGGGTAACATAAAAATTGCTTCCCATTTTGGGGCGAGGTTAGCTACTTTTCAACCCCTGGTCATTGTACACTTTTGCAAGTGGTGGTTCACCTGTGTATCCTTGACGGAATCCAGTCTAGCACCTTTGGCCTCTATCAACATTCAACTGAAGGTTTTCGTTGGATATCCTCGTTTCCTCGACTTTAACCTTTATATCTTTTTTCCCTCTGTCCATTGGTTTCCCATTGCAGTGCCTTTTTGGTATCTCAGTCTGCTGCTACTCAGAACATGCCTAATATAGTGCCATCTTTTTTGTCTTATAACTGTTGATACCAGAAGTTGTCCAGATATTTCTCTTATTTTTTTTACTGACCTCTAATAGTCGTCCCTTTGTGGAATGCAATTTTTCATTATTTTGAAACCCCACCCTGGCTGTTGCCAGCGGCCGCAGTATAGCCTAATGGTTGAACGCGGTTTCCGGGACCTCTCCATGCGGTGATCCTCTTCCACATGGTGGCACTTTGTGTCACCTGGTGTTTATCCCTCTGTGTGATGTCCTGGTGGGGTACAATTTAATTACTTACTAATTTCCTCTCCTTTCTTTACGTTATCATTTACATTCGTATGTTTTTCCTGAATTATATTATGAGAATAGAAAATAATTAAAACAATGGATATGACGGGTGGGAAGTATAAGTTATCAATCTGATTGCAAAATTTGTTATTTTTAAAACTGTCCACCTGTGTGTTTGTTTTGTTATTTGTAGTAATTCATGTACTTTTGTATAATTTGTTTAAATTAAAAAAATTGCAGTAGATTCAAAATGTACTAAATTATGTAGTCACATAATTGTTCAGCACTCACAGAAGGGGAAGATTTGACAACGGTAAAGTGAAAGAATTATTTAGCTTTCATGACAGGAAGAAACAAACAAAGAAGATGATGAGAAAGAGATAAGATTGTTTAGCTCTCATGACATGAAAAAAAGAAGATATGAAGAGAGTTATAAAATTGATTAAGCGTTACGAAAAGTAGAAAGGAAATAAAGAGACAGTGACAGAACTGTTTAGCCATCATTAACATATGAAAGAGACAACAGAAAAGCAATTGAATTAACACTCGTGAATAGAAAAATGCAACAAAAACATGCAGAAGAGAGTTAATAACTAAGATAACAATTATGAGAAAAAAAAAAAAACACTTACAAACAAAGAATGGGAAAAGAGGATCAAAAAGTTATACAAAAAATGTTGATATAACAATAAGATCTGCTGATATTTTGAAATTTATTACTGAAACTTACAGAAGTTATAGAACACAGACATATGGCCATTAATCCTGAACTTTATAGGTAGACAACAAACCAAATAGTTTAGCCATGTAACAGGATTGTCATCAGACAAGGCACCACAGACAGTAATGTTATACAGATACAGCGGTAACAGATCCTGAGGCTGACGACGCAGAAGATGAACCATTTATATATCAGAGACACTGAAAAGTAGTTTATATGAAGTAAACAGAAGGACCTGTTCCGGAGATTTCTTCCTGCCCTGACACCGCAAGGCGTTTCAGCAGTACAGAAAAGAAAACGAATACTAATTATAAATACTCAACTACCATATGCATTGAAAAAAGATTGTTTAGTAGATTGTTTAGTCCCCACAGTGTGCCTGTCAAATAGGACCATAAACACCTGGGCACATCCTGCAGACCTGCCCACTCTACCTACAACTTCAAAAAGACACTTGGCCTCAAGAGCAAATTGTCCAGAGCAAGATCTGTTTTAGGGGATTTGGACTATGCAGATGACATCAGCCTTATATCAAGCCATTATGAGGACGCTCAGGAAAAGATTGAAAGACTTTCAACAACAGCCCTCAAGAAAGGACTCAAAATAAACACCAGTAAAACTAAGTAATGAAACATAATTACAAAACAGAAGATTCTGAAAAGGATGTAACATCAAGAATAAACAAAGCAAATCAAGCATTTGCAATGCTTAACAATATATGGAAGTCAAAGGGATTTAGTTTGAAGACAAAACTTAGAATATACTAGAGCCACAATTTGGGAATACTATTTTACAACAGTGCATGTTGGAAAATTACACATAAACTTAAGAATTTTCAAAATGTTTAAGGATAATTCTATGAATATTTTGGCCAAACAAGATCACAAATGAAGAACTGAGGAGGAAAACAGAATGTGCATCACTGGCAAATGTTGTCTAAGTAAGACGATGGAGATGGCTTTGACATGTTTGCAGAATGCCTTGTGACACTCTGGCAAAAACAGCTCTCCGGTGGACAGCAGATGGGAAAAGGAGACATGGATGACCTAAGGAAACCTGGAGAAGGACAACAAAACAGGAAATGAAGGAATATACACTGACATGGGATACAATGGGCAGCAATGGAGATCACTTGTGGATGCCAACAGCGACACGAAGAGGATAAAGAATCTATGGGGAAACATGAAAAACCTGCTACTGACATGCGAGTTCATAGAGGCAACCCACCTGATGGTCTGATCTGAGCATACAAAACCGAACGCAAAGAAGAAGATATATACGTCCTTACTTGCACAGTACTATGGGTTACATCGGGCCGGTATAGATGTTATTGGTGCACAAGC